TATTTGATTCTAACATCTTAGTCTGTCTTTGACGTTATAAAATTATTCTAAAATAAGAACAAAATAATTATAATTTCAAAATGATTGAGAGATAACAAAATATACAAAATATAAAAAAGAAATTGTGATTGAATAATATAATATTTAACTAAAAATATATTAATATATAATTAAATTGATTCAATTAGCCGATCTTTTCCTTTAAAAGACCGCATCACATGCCAAATTCAATAAATAATTTACATTAGTTTTATTCTTTTATATATATATATGTGTATATATATATATATATATATATATATATATATTTAGTATAACCTTGAGGTATCCTCATTCAACCTCCTCCGGTCGCCTAACAGCGGGTGTTGAGCTTTGTTACCGGAGGAAGGATGAGACTAATTCCCCATTCGAAGAGGAAGGCACATCCTCTTATTCCCAAAGATTTTTCAAGAATTTGCTTGAGGCAGGGTTTGAACCTCTAACTCAAGCAAATCCTTAGAGCTCAGTTGCCAACTGAGTTATCTTTGGGAGTTAATTTTTTTTATTTTTTAGTAAATAGTTTTAATTTCTCCAATTCTTTTTTTTTCTTGCATCTCAATTTCCATTTCCTCCGGGAGAGTAACATCTCCAATAATGAAAAATGGTAAACAATCATTTTGATAACTTTTTAAAATAATTTCCTTAAATAAGATAATTTTCAAATATAATAGCAAATTAATATAATAAGTCTCGCTCTTTATCTATACATGATTAAACTCTATGTGAGTAATATTATAAAAAATATTTAATCACAAATTAATCACATTTTAATTGTGACTAATGTCGTAAAATTAATTCCACATTCACCTGACGTGAATCGTGGTTAATTTGTTTTATTTTTTATTTAAATATGTAACACACACTAGTTCCGCGTTGATAATACGTGGTGGGAGTTACGAGTAATATGTTTGAAGATTACAATATTTATAATATTTAAAATAAAAAAAGAGTAAATACCCTTTTTCTTCCTTGATAATTTTCTCGAGACACATTTTAGTCCCAAACAATAAAAAAGGCTCATTTTAGTCCCTAATATTTGAAAAAAAAGGGTCACGTTCGTCCTTCCGTTAGTTGGCATCTGACAACCCAACTAACGGAGCATATGTGGACCGTTACTTTGCTGAGTCACCGTTAAGTATGCCAGCGTGGAAGTAATACGACGTCGTTTTATGTCTTCTTGGAGTTTTGGACAGCTGACCCTAGCATAAAAGGCCCTATTTGGTCCCTGACAAATTTATCAAGGCCCTATTTGGTCCCTGAAAAATTTATCGAGACCCTATTTAGTCCTTAACACCACAAAACTTTCTCTATCTGCATGCACCTCAAGCTGCATTAAATGTTTTTTTCCCGAACTCTTTCTTCAATCAACATAGTTTTCTGCAAGTGAATTTTCCCCCATGTCAAAAGAAAATGAGCAATTTTTCACAGAGATTCTGCAAAGGGGTGTTGAGAACTCTGACCCAAATTCAGGCACTCTTAATTTTTCAGTTAAAGTATGGCCTAAACTGCTAGATTTCCTTAGTTCAGTTAATCTAAAATATGTGAAATTCGGTTACGGCTACCTCATTAGCCATCGTTTGTATTTGTTGCTGGCACCACCTCTTCTTGCAACCTTGATTGCTCATATTGGAAAGTTCAATTGGAAAGATCTCTATGACAAACATGACCTCACTGAAGCTTTATTTATATCAGCACTTTTGTGCTTAATGTTATATTTTTATATTGAATCTACAGCCCGGTCTACCTATTTACTTGATTTTTCATGTTTTTGCCCTTCAGATGAATACAAGGTAAACAACACTTTTTTGTTAACTATTTATCACTCTTCACATATTTAAGTGTGGATGAGATTTAGGTCTTCATTATTTGAGATTGTATAATTCTTTGCCAATATGTTTAAGGGAATGTAAGCCTATTTATGTATATATGTTCAATTTTTTGCATGCATTGAATGGGACAATTAAGGACAAGAGGTATCCACGGTGATGTTTGGGGCAATTAAGGACCTTCTTGCTGTCACAAAAGTAAAATCAAAGGAATATTAAACACCACCCCATCACTCTCATCAATGATAATAAACCAAACGGAAGATAGTGAAGGGAGGAAGGGACTTTCTGTAAGCAAAGATGTCAGGTTGGAGGCCATGCATTAAAGGCCAATATTACCACATTAGGTCCACTAGTCTTACCAGTTTCAGAACAACTTCACTTTTTCACCAATTTGCTCTTCAAGAAAAAGAAAACAAAGCCATACATTCCAGATTACAAGTTGGCTTTTGAGCATGTATGCATTTTGGCAACAAGTAAGAAAGTGTTGGATGAGATTCAGAAGAATTTGGAGCTCACAGAGGAGTACATGGAAGCATCAAGGAAGACATTGGAACGATTTGGCAACACATCTAGCAGCAGCATCTGGTATGAACTGGCATACCTTGAGTTTAACTCAAGGATCAAGAGGGGTGATAGGGTTTGTCAGATAGCTTTTGGTGCTGGGTTCATGTGTAACAGTGTTGTTTGGAAGGCCCTCAGGAATGATGGGAGACCCAAGCAGAGTCTTTGGATTGAGGATGAGTGCTGCACCACCTAGCTAGCAAAGAACCTTTTAAGGATCCTACATTTCCATATTATGAGCAATGGAAAAATGACATCAATTAAATAAATAAAACAGATAGAGAAAGCTTTGTGGTGTTAAGGACTAAATAGGGCCGTGATAAATTTGTCAGGGACCAATTAGGGCCTCGATAAATTTGTCAGGGACCAAATAGGGCCTTCGATGCTAGGGTTAGCTGTCGAAAACTCCAAGAAGACATAAAACGACGTCGTATTACTTCCACACTGGCATACTTAACGGTGACTCAGCAAAATAACGGTCCACGTGTGCTCCGTTAGTTGGGCCGTCAGATGCCAACTAACGGAAGGACGGACGTGGCCCTTTTTTTTCAAATATTAGGGACTAAAATGAGCCCTTCTTATTATTCGGGACTAAAATGTGCCTCGTAAAAATTGCCAGGGACGAAAAAGGGTATTTACTCTAAAAAAAAAACATCGAAATGGACATTTAGCCGATGAAAAATTCTCTAACATATTTTCATATATGTAACTATGTATATTATTTGAAGAGTCGTCTATATTAAAATAAGAGATAAGATATTGTAACAATCACTTAGAGTTATTATCAATATTATTATTAATCAATTTCACCGTTAAATCGATTATGTGAATTTAACGATTATATTTATTTTCATCTTTGTACGATTATGATTTCCCATATTTAATGTGAAAGTATTAAATATTGGAAATCATAACCATACAAAAGTATAAATAAATATAAAATATTAAATATTGGAAATCATAACCATACAAATAGGGGTGTAAATGGGCTGGGCTGGGCTGGGCTTTGACTTTCCTGGCTCAAGCCTACGTAAAAAAAAATTAGCCTATCTGGCCTACTGACCTATCAAAGGCTTTATTTGTAGGTCAAGCCTGGCCTATTTTTAAAAATAAGAAAACCCGACATGGCCTACAGGCCTTGTAGGCCTACCACTGTAGATACTAAGCAAAGAAAATAATTGTATAGAGCAAATAAAGTTTCATTCATGAATGCACTAGTACTTCTCATAAGAAAAAAATAACAAACAAGAAAGAGTCAATATAATACCCCAGCTTTAGAATGTATATCATAGAGGAATAGAGTCAAAGAAATGAGAAAAATAAGAAAAATACAATTATTGGGTGCTGAAATAAAGTCTACAAGAGAATGTCTTTCATCTAAAAATTAGGGTTGACATTGGTACTTTGTCATGCCACATAAAATAAATATTATTTTATTTTTAATAAATTAAATAGGCCAGCCCACAAGGCTTTGGGCCAGACTTGACAAAATTGGCCTACGGCCTATTTGTTAAAAAAGCTTTCTTAAAAGCCTAAGCCTATTCTACTTTTCTGAAAGGTTGGGCCAAGTCAGGCTTAATGTAGACCGAACTGTAGGCTGGGCTGGGCCAGCCTGGCCCATTTACACCCCTACGTACAAAGATGGAAATGAATATAACCGTTGGATCAACATAATTGATCCAACAGTGAAATTGATTGGTAGTAACCCTAATTGGTTGTTACAATATCTTTTATCTTAAAATAAAAGGAAAAATGTTGGTTCTTTTAAATGATATAATTTTATACCATTTTATATTTTAAATGTTAATTTTCGTCAATCAACAGTTAGAATTTATTTAATCAAATTTATTAATTAATGAATAATTCACAATAAAATCCAATAAATCCTAACTATTTTTTTTTTTGGAGGTTACAAGGAATTGAACACAACACCTACACTACACACACTCCTAACACACACACACCACACCACTAGGCTAACCCTAGTGGTGCAATAAATCCTAACTATTGAATGGTGAAAATCAACTGTTAATATATAAATAACACAAAATTATATCATTTAAAATAACAAATGTTTTTCCCTAAAATAAAACCAAATTTAATATTGTTTTACTAAAAGAAGATAATCCAGGAAGAGGGAACTTAAAAAATGGAAATAGAAACGCGAGTACAACTTATCTCGTTGAAAAACCAATAATAAGCAGAAAAATAGAATAAATAACTAAAAAAGGAAGGAAAGAAAAAAATAAGTAGAAAAAGCAATCACATCAGACAAAAATCCCACATTCGTTGCTTACTACAAAAACAAAACAACATCACATTTTAACCTCCCACCGACGCCTTCTATTTCTATACCGAATTTGAATCATAATTCGTTCTTTAGCAGGACCAGCCCAATCAGCGCACATCCTGTTCCACGTGTCAACATCTAAACAGAAATGATCAGAAAGAAATCACCATCAGCGAGAAGAAAACAAGTCCACATCACCGTATAATGCACGCGTCGTATGGTAATATAGTAAGTCTATAACACATGCAATCACACCCTCCTTCATTGTTCAGACACAGTTCCGGTAGCTATTATATATCGTTTATCTCTCTCTTTATTTCTCTCTCATCGCCATTGCAACAGATCTGAGCCATAGATCACAGGGTTCGCGCCTTTTGACTCTTCCTTTTCCGTCTCCATTGGCCATTTTTCCACACACCTCGCACCGTTAATCTAGAATCAGAGCTAGCTAATCGGAGCATCCATACCCGTTTTCTCGGGTCCGTGCGCGGATCTAGCAGAGGAGGTAAGCTACGAGGATATATGTACTAATCATCGAATTTGAACGGCTGTTTTGATTTTCTAATTTTGGAAAATCTGTTAATTCAAATTCCCTCTCTGTTATATATAAACAGTCCCTTTCAGAGATAGCTTCGAGTCCGTGACTCACTGAGTTGAGCGTGAGTTAGATCGGAAGCAGGTTCCGATGGCTTCGAGCACGATCCGGAAGGCGATTGGGGCGGTGAAGGACCAGACGAGTATAGGGATAGCGAAGGTTGCGAGCAATATGGCTCCGGAGCTGGAGGTGGCGATTGTGAAGGCGACGAGCCACGACGAGGATCGGGCGAGCGAGAAGTACATAAGGGAGATCTTGAACCTGATGTCGTACTCGCGTGGCTACGTCCACGCGTGTGTGTCTGCGGTGTCGAAGCGTTTGGGGAAGACGCGGGACTGGATTGTGGCGCTGAAGGCGCTGATGCTGGTGCACAGGTTGATGAACGAGGGACCCCCTTTGTTCCTTGAGGAGATCTTGTACGCTACACGAAGGGGAACCAGGCTTCTTAACATGTCCGATTTCAGAGACGAGGCTCACTCCAGTTCTTGGGATCACTCCGCTTATGTCAGGACTTATGCTATGTATCTTGATCAGCGCCTGGAGTTGATTCTGTTCGATAGGAAAAGTGGCAGTGTTGGTGGCGGTGGCAGTGGCGGTGGTGGTGGGAGTGGCAGTGCTGGCGGTGGTGATGATAGGTATGGGGGGAGAGATAATTTCAGGTCGCCGCCGTATGAGTATGAGTATGGAGGGGGAGAATTCAGAGGAGAAAGTGGGTATGGGAATAGTGGGATGAGGAGGACGAGGTCGTTTGGTGACATGAGCGAAACGGTGGGGCGGGAAGAGAGAAGGATTGTGGTTGTGACTCCGTTGAGGGATATGAAGCCGGAGAGGATTTTTGGCAAGATGGGTCATTTGCAGAGGTTGTTGGATCGTTTTTTGGCTTGTAGGCCTACTGGATTGGCAAAGAATAGCAGGATGGTTTTGATTGCTCTGTATCCTGTGGTCAAGGAGAGCTTTCAGTTGTATGCTGATATATGTGAGGTTTTGGCTGTGTTGCTTGACAAATTCTTTGATATGGAGTATTCGGATTGTGTGAAGGCCTTTGATGCTTATGCAAGTGCGGCTAAGCAGATTGATGAGCTGGTTGCCTTCTACAATTGGTGTAAGGATACTGGAGTGGCGAGGTCCTCAGAGTACCCAGAAGTTCAGAGGATTACTGGTAAGTTGCTGGAGACACTTGAGGAGTTTGTGAGGGATAGGGCCAAGAGGCCAAAAAGTCCAGAGAGGAAAGAGGAAGCTCCTCCACCGGTGGTGGAAAAAGAAGAGGAGGAGCCGGTCCCGGATATGAATGAAATCAAGGCACTTCCTCCACCTGAGAATTATACCCCGCCTCCTCCGCGTGAGCCAGAGCCTAAGCCTCAGCCACAATTTACAGAGGACTTGGTGAATCTGAGAGATGATGCAGTCACTGCAGATGACCAGGGTAATAAATTTGCTTTGGCACTCTTTGCTGGTGCACCAGCTAATAATGCAAATGGATCGTGGGAAGCCTTCCCATCCAATGGACAGCCACAAGTGACTTCAGCTTGGCAAACTCCGGCTGCTGAACCTGGGAAGGCCGATTGGGAATTGGCATTGGTAGAGACTGCTAGCAATTTATCCAAGCAGAAGGCAACTTTAGGTGGTGGGTTTGATCCATTATTGTTGACTGGCATGTACGATCAGGGAATGGTGAGGCAGCATGTCAGCACTGCTCAACTGAGTGGAGGGAGTGCAAGCAGTGTGGCATTGCCAGGACCGGGAAAGGCTACAACACCTGTTTTAGCTCTCCCAGCCCCAGATGGATCTGTGCAACCAGTTAATCAGGATCCATTTGCTGCATCTTTGACCGTTCCACCCCCTTCCTATGTGCAAATGGCTGATATGGAGAAGAAGCAGCATTTGCTTGTGCAGGAGCAGCAGCTGTGGCATCAGTATGCAAGGGATGGGATGCAAGGTCAATCTAGCTTGACCAAACTGAATGGCACTGGATACTATCCTGGAGGTCCTATGCCTGTTATGCCTTATGGAATTCCCCCAGTCAACGGAATGGGACCTCCAACCGGGTATTACCATACTCCGTACTGATTTCACCCCTTTCCCCCTTTTTTTTCGCCACATTTCTATAGGTTGCTTCGTTTATTTTTTTACTATGACATAGTGTTTTCCTTTGTTTTAAATGATATCTTATTATTGAGATCTGCACATTAGTACGACGGGGATGATAAGGAGACTGAGACGAAGAGACAATTTCTTGTTGGGTTTTGATGGTGGGAGATGTGTAACTCAGTTGTGATGTCTCTGTGTCTTTTGTAATAGTAGCATTTTCTTCTCGATTTTTGTACTTTAAGTGATCCTTGCTCCTTAAAAACAAAGGCTTAACTGCTGTAAATTGTATTAAATTCTGGTGCTGACGATCGTGATTGGTTATGCCAAATGTTTTTTCCTTCTTGCGGGAACAGCCGTGGCTGCTTATTCTTAAACTTCACTAGAGTTTAGTACTCGCGAAGTGGTTCCTTTTGGGAGGAGTTAGATATACTAGTAAGTTGCTGGTTTTGACATTAAGGAGTAAGTTTCAATTTGGTCATTTTTTCGTTTTCTTCTTACCTTTGGTTACCGAATTTAACTGCATCACGATTCATATTTCTTGGGGACTATTAGATGTCAAGTAGCATTCTAGTTATTTATGTGGGTCTTTTCAACAGCAACACATATGGTTGTCCTGTCCCATGCTCTTCAGTTCCTATCGTTCTCACCTATTCAATTTGTATTTTGATATTATTTTGGATCTTTTTGGTGAAAATTGTCAAAAAGGGAAATAAAGACGGGTAATCCATCTGTCATTGTAAGTTGTAGGTATTACATGTTTTTGGGATACAGTAATATAGTAATTGTTCAAGCTTTTCAGTTTGGACATGTGAATTTTTTTTGTTATATAGTTATCTACTTATGTACTTGTATATTTTGATTATTAAAATATTACCATTCAATCATCGGTTGATACTGACTAATAAAATTGTTTAAATAATGTAATTACCCATGCTGCACATCTCAATTAGCTTTGATTAAAGATGGTAATGTTGAATGTGATTATTCATAATTCAATAATAGTAAAAGTAGGTGTTCCGGAATTAACAATAACTTTTAGTTCAATTTTAAGATTTATGTACTTAAAAAATGTCATTAAGAAGGACTTTCGTTCATTGTGCCTGATCAAAGTAATACTATAAAATAGTTGTAGTAATCCTATTAGCTATCTCATACGAGTCGACATGGTGATGATGAGTTTAAATGTATTTCTTCTTCAATGCGTCACAAGAACTCTAGGTAATGGGCAAAAGAAAAAAAAATCGTTAAATCTCCAAATTGAGATATAATGGTCTAAAGTCTAATTATAGTATGTGGACTTGAAGGTTGAGAAAGGTTTAGAAAAACGATTGAAAGCTTCATGGTTCTGGTTCTAGTAAACAATTTATGGATTTGACCGTCTATTTTGTTTTTACCTGCTCCCAATTCCCAATTAAAACTCTTTTGTCATCTGGACAAGACGACCTGTGGATGAAACCAAGAAAATACACTTCTTACGAACCACTGAGGATTTCAATGTATATATATTTTCCATTGAGTTACAGATATACACTGCTTATTATGATTTTAAACACAATGCTGTGATGGTGATGCCAGTTGCCAAACACTATTAGATTAAGATATTCATGCCCCACTAATGAAGGAACCAAACGAATTTTTGCGCGGATTTGATATAACTTAGCATTTCAATGGAAAGAACGTACTTATATTATGTGATGTTTGGGGCACAAACCGTACGAAGCACGGGTTCTACATGTTTCACGAAAACTCAAAGCTTTTGGCATCCATGACCCCACCATCCTCCTTTCCTTACAATTGATGCCCCCCCAAAAATAAAATTAGAGCTTGACCCCATTCGATGCTTTCATGCCCATGCTTTACCTTTTCATGGTTTCTTTTTTGGAGAAGGAATAAATTATTTTTATATAAAATTTAAGTTCATATATACTCTCTTTTTTTATACATATGTTCATATATCCTTAAATCATTAAATAGTATTCACCTTTTATTTTGTTTTTTTAATAACGAATTTTATACAAATGCCTTTTTTTTTTTTAATAAAAAACAGTGAAGATATGCTAGTTCTTTGTTAGGCGTGGACATATTATCGACCTCATTGAGAACTATTGGTAAAAAAAAAATGTTAAATATAAACTTCGCAAGTAAGGGAACAGTGACTATTTTGTCACGCTTGACAAAAAATTTTATCAAACTGCCACGCTACGCCAACAGTAAATTTTGCCAAAATGTCACGCGACATATTTCGCTACACTGTGTAACGAAATATGTTTGCAAATAATTCGCTACACAGTATAGCGAAATATGCCATGTCAGGCTGTACAGTCAGCAAAATGACACGTGTCAAGCAGGCAAAAATTCGCTACACTGTGTAGCGAATTATGCTTGGATTCTGCCTGCTTGACACGTGTCATTTTTTGCTGACTGTGCATCCTGACATGGCATATTTCGCTACACTGTGTAGCGAATTACTTGCAAACATATTTCGCTACACAGTGTAGCGAAATATGTCGCGTAACATTTTAGCAAAATTTATTGTTAGCATGACAATCTGGTAAATTTTTTTGCTAGATGTGACAAAATGATCAATGTTCCGCAAAGTAAGTATAAAGCTTTAGTCCTTACTAGCTGCACTAATTTAGTTGGCGCTACTTTATAGAATAGTAAGGCTACTTGCTACAACTTTAAGAACGCATCTTCATAGTTACTTTGTTGTCCTAACATTTCTTAGCTCAAATAAGCGACAAAAAGGAAGGCATCCGCAACTTTTTTCTAGTGCGTTCTTTAATACAATTAAGAAAGCTGGGTTGATTGACCCTTTTACGTATGATAAAAGAATTTGAGTGGTGTTATTGCAAACATTTTGCTCAAACATAATTTGCTTTATTTATATTTAAAAAAAAAAAAACATGTTGCCATGTGATAGCAATGAAGGAAATCAACAAGTTAAACTTACGTATTTAACCTGCTCAAATATAATTTATTTAATTTGAAAAAGATTAATTAACTAAATATACAAATATTATATTGTTTAATCTATCTTAATTGATTATGATAAAAATATAATTAAGTATAATTAACATATAATGAGTATTTGAATTGATTAATTTGTAATTTAAAATAATTATTTTGATTAATTACACTCTTAGTATTTATGGGACAAATTTGAATTCCAAATCATCAAAATCTTAAGCTATTTATGATGTTTTATTTATCTTTATTAAATATGATAAAAAGATAATTAATTCTAATTAACATATTAGATATTTATTCTTAATGATTGCTCTGAAATATTTGATAATTACTTGTGTTCGTAGATGAGCACTCCTTTAGTTTTTATTAATGATTTGTACGGAAACAACTTTAGAAGTAAATAATTTAATTAATTAAAATATTTACTTCAAATATTAAAATTAATTAATTTAAATCAATAATAATATTTCAAAATATCATCACATGCTAATTAGATTTAATTACCTTATTATCATAATCAAGTAAGATAAATAAAATATCAAAAATACATCAACACTTTGCTAAATTGAAATTCAAATTTGTTCCCCTAAATATCAGAGTCTAATTAATTAAAATAATCACTTTAAATATCAAAATTAATCAAATTAAATCAATCATATATCATAATCAATTAAGATAATTAAAATACTATTATATTCACATATTTAACTGATTACTCTTTTCAGATTAAATGATGGGTGTTATTAATCTCATGTTAAAAGAGATAAATTATCCCATGTCATAGAAATAAATTTGTGGGTCTTACCACCTGAAAAAAAAGACTGCACAGTTATCGAACGACATGTAGGAGAGAAAATTAATCTCATATAACATGAAAATAATTTTTCTCTTAAATGATTATGTAAGTACGTTGGTAGGAAACTTGGCTGCGGCACCCTTTTTTTTCTTCTTAAATTATGCAAATTATACTTGTACATTCCCCCTTGATTTATCACGCGTGACTAGACAAGTTAAAATTATTTACAACAACACCACAACAGTAAAATTCTTTGGCCAATACACTAAACCGATCAATGGACCAATAATTTGATATATGTGGCTCATAAGAGAAAGATAACTCTTGTCTTAAGGTGGTGTTTGGTTTACGGTTTTTGGAAACTTTCCTATACAAATGAAGCAAGCATTCCAGTTTGCACTTGTTTGGTTCAAGAGATTCACTCAAAATCTCCATCCATCCAATTTGCATTGCTTTTTCAATTTTGTCTTCGAATGATAGTTTTCGGCACTATTTAGAACGAGTTTTCGTAGGTGGTTTTATTTGAAAAGCCGGCTAAATCACTGTTTACACAATTTCTTCCAGACCATTATACCCTTTGAAAAGGCAAGAGAGATGATAGGATATTTTCCTTGTGTGGTCAGCAGCAGTTTCGATTAGAAGATAAAAACTGAGTATGTTGTCTTCCTTGTGTGGGTTGAAGAGCACAAGTGACAAACGGCGACCGGAAGAAAGCATCATTGCATGGTGGATCGGTGAAGGGAGGATGATGTGGGTTTGTGGTGGTTATTAGTGGAGTTATTTTACTGCTGCCGGAACTCTGGGGAAGCGTTTGGTGGTGGCGGGGCTGGTGGGGGACGCGGAGAAAATGAAAGGGGTGAAGTTGTGGGTGGTGAAGGGTGAATTGGGTTCGGGAATGGATGAACTTGGTGAGATGCCGAAGGAGATGTTGGAGAAGGTAAAGGGTGGTTCGGTTGAGATGACTTGGGTTGGGGATTTTGTTTACGTGCATAACACGTCGGAACTGGAGGAGCGGGTGGTGTGCGAGGTTGTGGATGGTGGTTTATGTGAGTGGAGGAATGTGCCATACACGGCTGTCAACGACGGCACGAGTCTTTAAAACAATGGGGTTGATTTAAATGTAAAAAACACATAGATTAAAAATAAAAATAAAAATAAAACGGGGTTATTTTGGTAAAAATAACTTTTTTCCCATCTATATTTTACCTATACTAAACATAGACTTTATAAAAGTTACCTAATTTCTCCATCAAAATTTTATCCAACCAAACAACTTTTTTTACATTTTCCTATCAAACTCACATTCCAACCATTTTCTTAGTAATCACATTTCCCTATTATTCATAAAAAAATTTCTTCAACCAAATGTTTCCTTTGAGACTTAACCATAAAGTCTAATATAAGTTTGGTACTTAAATTATCTTTACGAGTTTAATAGAGGAATAATTAGAACAATAGTATATACGTAAATAAATGTCTAGAATATAAATATAGGCCCATCATGTACTTTTATAAGAATTTGAAATTAATTAATATATAGTAAGTGAAGCGTCTTTTTAATGCATAGATCATAATGCTTGGTGGTTGGCAGCTCGTGTCCAACGGATGGGGGTACCAGTTGAGATGGCACTTGCCCTCGTCACATTATTTTTTATTTATTTTTAATGGATGGTGGAACTAAACCACATCTCGTATCTATAATAAGAAAAAGAATTACTTTACCGTGTGAGAAAAGAGAAATCATTTTTCTTTTAATTCTAAAAAATTACTCTTTTTCTTGCTGTGGAAATGAAAAGAAAGTAATCTATTAAACAATTATAATTACTAGTTTTTTTTGAAAAAAAGATGAAATAATTACAATTTGCAAATCAATTAAATTTATGCAAAGCTTTTATATTGAAAAACAAGTTTTTTTGAAGGATATTAATTTTCTATTGTCCACTCACAT